CCTTCCTAAATGCAGTATATAATGGAAGTGAGTACAACACTGTGCAATATCACAGAAAAGTCAAATGATTCAAAATTATATCATCTTTCCTTAACTACATTGTTCAAAAACATAAAAATGAGCCATCAACACCAGGGGCCTCATGTAGAAAGACTTGCGTGGATTTCATACTGAAACCTGGAGTACGCTTCAATCCAGAAAACTACGTATGCACAAAAAAATCCAGATGAACGAAAGTGAATGTACGCCTGAATCCAAGCACATTTCCTTTGTACATCTCACTCAACCTCAACACATGTTGGAGTACCAGACTCCTCCCTCTCCACGCCCCCAATTTAAATATGCAAATTAGTATAAAGAGGGCCAACAGGTGGGATTCCCCTCTCAGTAACAGTAACAAGGATGAACTCACCCTGTTTGAGCAGAGTCGCAGCTATTGTGGGTGATGCTGCTCTCATAGGGGTGGTGGGAGCACACGTAGGTCACTCGGATCACCCCAAGGTCAATAGTGAAATAGTGTAACGAACAGATTTATTCACTACACGGGTCATATAATAATCTGTTCACAGCCAAACAAGATAAAGGTTCATGTGTAATCATGCCAGGATATCAAAGAGGAAATCAAAGACTTTGTCTCATGTTTAATTACTCAACTTACTATTTTCCAACAGACAATGAGGCATGTTCTGTCCTGGCTGACAGATAGTGAACAAACTTGAGAGACCCAGTAGATTTGAATGAAGTTGCTTTACTGAATCTTCTCAGTACTTTTTTGTAAAACTGTAACACAATGAAATATACACAATGCTACAATTTGAAATTAAATATATGCAACAACACTGGTCACACTTTCCTTCTTCTTTTCCAGGTTATAAAACAGGTAAGTACATCACACTATTAAATAAGGCAAACATCTTCTTTTACAGTGTGCTTCCACAGTAACAGTATAAACACAGTAAACAGCCATATGGTTCACACATAAACATAGTATATAACATTAACAAGGTTTGACAATGGACCGAACCACAACAACCAAACTAGCTTCTTGCTAATGGTTAGCTTCGCGATTAGCATTAGCATAGTTAGCACGGTTTTCGTGACATAAAATAAACATCTCAATTGCCTCTTCCAGATCACAGTGCCACAAACAACTAAAATAATCATTTGCATCTGTGCTCACTGTTGGTTCCACTCCAAGACTCAGACAACCAACTCTCTGTGGTGGAGCACTTCTAGCTTATGCATGAACATTGAAAGTGCCTGATCCTTAAAGCCGCAGTAACCAAAATCACCAACAGGGGGAACTTAACTTTTTCAGTCACTGCCAGGAGTCAGAACAAGGCAGGAGAAGACTAAGATGCAGTCCCAGCCTCATATTACAGACCCGTGAGGTTCCTCCAGCCCATCCTCCGGTCCGCCGCAACAACCAGCTGCTGATTCCCACACATGCTTAACGCATGTCAGGGGATTAATATTAGGACAGTTAAATGATTTGCTCACCAAGAAGCCACCCAGCCCGCACCAGCTTGTAGCCTGTTCCCAACAATGCTGTTGGTCAGAATGAATGAATCGAGTGTTGATCCAGGCCACCTCCTAACAATGTTACATAAATGCATTTGTACATTGATTGAATGAAAATGCTTTTTGTTTACATAAACAAATTCATCTTGTGATGGTGCATTTATAGCAATGTGTGTACAGTCGATAGCTCCAATTACATTAGGAAAACCAGCCTTCGCTGCAAATTTCACTTTTATGTCGTCCTGTTCAACTGCAGTGTATGGGAGCTTGATATATCTGGCTGACATTTGGATGGTTCCATCCCACACAGCTGGCATGACTCAACTCAGTATCGACTGGCACAGTCCCGATTGATCAGCCAGCTCCCTCTGAAATGACCCTGTGGCTAGGAAGCCCAGTGTGGTCAGTACCTGTATAGGCAGGTAAGGCTTGGTCCTGGCCGTGTTGCGCTCCAATAACGGCCGCAGTGCCGCGTGCAGTTCCAAGAGGATTGCCCTCGGGAACCTAAAACAGCTGATGAGTTTGGATTCCCAAACATATGTGGAGCCATAGACTGCACCCACATCACAATCAAAGCAGCATCACTAGTAGTAATATCTAATATTACTAAAATATCTAATGATAAAATAATTTAAATAGTTATATTTATCCATTGACTTGTACTATAAAGTTATTTTTTTCATTTAGCCTCACCAATTTTGATGGTTTTTTAAATTCAAAAATCGCTGAATTTTTGCAGTTTCCCATCCAAATGCTTGGAAGAGAAACCGGTGAGGCAGAAGTGAGTTGAGCCTCACCTTGGATTGTGCAATCCCTCACTAACTGTGCTGGCTGCCTGCAGTGACAGTGTACTGCTCTCTGGATGTCACCAATAAAATGGTTCAAAAACATTTAATACATGAACTGGTTTTCCATAGTTCAGCTGATGTATATAATAATGTACAGTGTTTTTTTGTTACCAGCTGTATGTGTGTAACATGTTTCGTGTGCTGAGCGATCATAAACAGCTGAGAAGAGGTTCTCGGTGAGGAAGGCAGTTCTCCTGCCTCATGGCAGGGGGCGCTCTGATCCCAGACATTCTTCTTGTGACTCGGCGGCTGCAGAGTAAGTGACAACAACTTAGCAGCTTACAAAAAAGTAATACATATTTTTGTCTAGAAGAAGCGGTGCATGGACTTCATTTATAAGTAAAGGTAAGGTTGCAATAACGTTGTCGTTTTCCCTGGACGTAAACCTGTCAGAGCCATCAAGGATGAGTTCCACAGGACTGCAGGTGAATGATGTAGAGATCTGTTAGATTAATTTTAAATTATATTCTGTTAATGACATTGTGCTGCAACCTGAGACTTGAACAGTGTTTTTATATTTCATCTTAGCTGCTGCCAAGTTCTCTTCTCCCCCGCCAGATCGCACCTAAATTAAATAAATTTATAGGTTTCCATTCAAGCAGTTTTTCCTGTAATATTATTGTGATCAAAGGATGACATTTAAACTTACACGTTGACCCGAGCAGTAATGTTCTCCATGCCGTATCCCTCTGTGTTGCAGCTGCAGCGGTGTTGCACTTCTTTTTGAAAACGCGTTCAAACTCGCCGTATGAGCGCATTAAGATTTCTAAGTCTAGTCTGTGAAAAACGCAGCCGTCTGCTTCCCCGTTGCCATGGTGACTCGTCAACTCAGGCTCCATTGATGCTGGCTTTTTATAGTTGTGGTGCACGCACTTAACTCCAGGTGAGACTACTCTGAGGTAATTAAACTAACTCAAATCAGCTGTTCTGGAACCGGAAACTGAGAGTTTCCTATCTCATAGTAGGTCAACTCAGAGTTCAGGGTTAGACTCAGAGTTTGGTTGAACCTGCTTTATGAAAAGGTAGTGTGAAGGACATTGTATACTGTTAACCCCTATAGACTGCATCCAAGAAATAAGAACACATGGCTGCTATTTGGTACAAAAATGAAAGATTCAATTTTGGTAAAGAGCATGAAAAAAAGCCTGATGAATACTGAGAGCATATTCTTTGATCAGGTAAGACCAAGATAAATTTGTTCAACCCAGATAGGATGTTCGGTGAAGTTGGTCAGGACTACAGCAGTAAATACATGGTCCTGACAATAAAGCACAGAAGAGGGAGTGTGATGATATGAAGCTGCATAAGCCTGTGCATAAACCAAAACACTGTCTGACAAGATGAGTACCAATCTGCAGAAGCTTGGCAGAAGAGGAATATTCCAACATGATAACAATCTACGCACACTGCTGAAATCATGCAACAGTTTCTATGACCAGGCCAAGTGTATTGCCTGAATTGAATCCAATAGAACTCTTTTGGGATATTTTAAAAAGAAACATAGAACAATGGTCCAGTAAAGAGGTGCTGTGAAGAAATGGTAGAAAAGACATTTGTGGGCACTTAAGTCTGTCACCAACAATAAAGGTAGACATATAAAGTATTGAAAAGAACAAAGATTTGAATGGCGGCAATGTACTGATTTTTGTTGCATTGAGTTCCTACTATGGGACCTGTATTTTTAATATAGTAAATAATTAGTTTGTAATTTTACATAGAAGCCCCACTGTTGGACTTAGAGGTAATGCCATTACTGTAAGGTCTTACAGTTTTGAATAAACTGACATTGAGGCAATATTGCACTGGGATGTATTCACTTTTGTTGTACACTGTAGCTATTGGCATAGTTGTTGTTGCTGTTTTTTTTTTTTATTTCTTATTTATTTATTCATTTTTAAATAGCCTTCAATAGTCTTATCAAATGTGCCAAATGATGTTTCCCATGTTTCATGAAAGCCAACACTTAATGTGAGGACTTTCCTGCTCTTCAACAAAACACTTTTGACGTGCCCCTGGGATGACAATGGGAATGCAGAGTTTTTCCTACCAATCATGGGAACTTAAGGATAGGTCTGTATTTCCTGGAATGCAGCCCATTAGGAAAGAGAAAGAGGGAACACAGGATGTCCTGAGCACAGAGTCCTGCAATACACTGCCACAGAAATGAAAGCTGTTTACAGGGATTTTCTTCACATCGCCACTCTCCCTGTTAGGGACCCTGCCGTGATGGACCAGGATTCCCTACTCAGGTTTTCCATTACACATGTCCTATCACTGTTTTCTTTTTTTCTTGCAGATCTTTCAAGTGTGACCTGACCTATGTAAAACCCTAACCTAGATTTTTATAGTCACACTCTGAAACTGTTAAAGCAGGATTTAGTAGCATGTAAACCAGTGACTTAGAAATATATGCACTGACACCTTGACGTTTCTCCTATAATTACACCATGACTTGAACAAATGTCTGTTAATGTTTCACATCAAGGAACCCACCAACACCACCTTCGCCTCCCTGGACATTCTCCAACCGTCCCGAGAGGAGAGTCCATGATGTCACGGGGGGGAGGGAGGGGACAGGGGCCTGTGTGTCTATAAATGCACAGGGAAACCTCTCTATGAAGTAGAGCTGAGCTGTGCTCACATGAAGACGCTGTAGGACAGCAAACAAGGGCAGACGGGGGTACCTCTCAGTGCATGGACGCTGACCTGTGGATATTGTTCCATGCTGGAGCTGACAAAAAAAAGACCTTTTTTTCCACTTGGCACTCTGGACCTGAATAGCCTCTTACTTCTGCACTTCTTTGTTCCTTTGGGAAGATTTTATCCAGTTTTGTTCCTCTGCTGTGATCAGTATGCTAAGCCCTGTGACTTTGCAGCAGATCATTTCCACCCTGGTTGTGCTGGGCAGCGTTGAAGTGATAGTGAGTTACTGTGCCTTGTGACAACTTGCTTTTAGAATCATTCTCTGTATATATTTCTATACATTGTCATATTCTTTAGTCTTTCACTAATGCTGAAGAAAAACAAGATTAAAAAAAAAAGTAAAAGATTTTTAAAGATGTTTAAAACACTCCTGACCCTGACTGTGACCCTTGTCCCTCAGGCAGAGGGTGAGTGTCCGGCTGAGTGCTCCTGCGCCCCCTTGCCCCCACTGTGTCTGCCAGGCGTCAGCTGGGTAACTGATCACTGTGGCTGCTGTAAAGTTTGTGCTCGGCAGTTCAATGAAGGCTGCAGTGCCACCGAACCCTGCGATCACATCAAGGGGCTGCACTGCCACCTGGGGGTTAGAGGGGATCCTGAAAGAGGACTGTGTCGAGGTAAGGGGGCACACTATTCAATGTGAAAAAATTAATAAATAAGAAAAAAATGTAAAACACTTGTTGTTTGTATGTTTTCCTTTGTTCTTCTAGAAGGTAAACTCTGTATTTAGAATAAAAACTGAAGTAAAGCGAAAACCAGCGAGATAATCAATTACATATACTTCCCATCCCAAGGATGCCCTGGAAAGAAATCTGATTGCCAAAAAAAAAAAAAAGAATTCAATAGTAACATTTTTTTTTCTGTGAAATGCAACATGATTTCTTTAAAGTTTTCAAAATCCCTAAAAATGTTAAGCTGACTACCACTGAACACTGGCACTATTGACGGGTGCAGTGTTCAGCCCATGCTCTTTACTTTTATCCTTGACAATACTGTTCTGACCCATCAGATTTTCTTTATTGCCTACATATGTTTAGATGCACATTTGTGGCTGCACTTTTTGGTCTGGTTGCACTTTTCTTTTTTCTTCTTTCTTTCTTTCTTTCTTTTTTTTTTTTTAGCACTGTAAAGCTTTCTAGTGTGTTGTGTATAACTTACTTCTATGTTTATATACTTCTATTAAGTTTTCAACTGTAGGGGGAAAAAACACATTTTACCTCATTTATCACATTGCATGTGACAAATGAAGGTGTTAAGTGTTAGATAGTATTTTATTTTAAAGGTCTACTGTCACTCACTTCTTACAAGAGAGACTGTTCATCAGTTAGGATTAGGGTTGTGGGGTTATTTAGGGTTATGTAAGCGCTCTTGTGGCTCTGGAAGGACTTTCATAAGTATGATGTATTCAAGCATCATTTTAGAAAATGCAAAAAAGTTTTTCAAACTAGATGTGGGAGTTTTCCTGGCAAGGTGGGTCTGATAAAAGGCACAGTGAATCTGAATTATCGAAGAAATAGGGTCCAGCATGAAATCATATCCCTTTTAGAAAATACATTTCTGTNCTATAGACTGCATCCAAGAAATAAGAACACATGGCTGCTATTTGGTACAAAAATGAAAGATTCAATTTTGGTAAAGAGCATGAAAAAAAGCCTGATGAATATTGAGAGCTTTGATCAGGTAAGACCAAGATAAATTTGTTCAACCCAGATAGGATGTTCGGTGAAGTTGGTCAGGACTACAGCAGTAAATACATGGTCCTGACAATAAAGCACAGAAGAGGGAGTGTGATGATATGAAGCTGCATAAGCCTGTGCATAAACCAAAACACTGTCTGACAAGATGAGTACCAATCTGCAGAAGCTTGGCAGAAGAGGAATATTCCAACATGATAACAATCTACGCACACTGCTGAAATCATGCAACAGTTTCTATGACCAGGCCAAGTGTATTGCCTGAATTGAATCCAATAGAACTCTTTTGGGATATTTTAAAAAGAAACATAGAACAATGGTCCAGTAAAGAGGTGCTGTGAAGAAATGGTAGAAAAGACATTTGTGGGCACTTAAGTCTGTCACCAACAATAAAGGTAGACATATAAAGTATTGAAAAGAACAAAGATTTGAATGGTGGCAATGTACTGATTTTTGTTGCATTGAGTTCCTACTTTGGGACCTGTATTTTTAATATGGTAAATAATTAGTTTGTAATTTTACATAGAAGCCCCACTGTTCGACTTAGAGGTAATGCCATTACTGTAAGGTCTTACAGTTTTGAATAAACTGACATTGAGGCAATATTGCACTGGGATGTATTCACTTTTGTTGTACACTGTAGCTATTGGCATAGTTGTTGTTGCTGTTTTTTTTTTTTATTTCTTATTTATTTATTCATTTTTAAATAGCCTTCAATAGTCTTATCAAATGTGCCAAATGATGTTTCCCATGTTTCATGAAAGCCAACACTTAATGTGAGGACTTTCCTGCTCTTCAACAAAACACTTTTGACGTGCCCCTGGGATGACAATGGGAATGCAGAGTTTTTCCTACCAATCATGGGAACTTAAGGATAGGTCTGTATTTCCTGGAATGCAGCCCATTAGGAAAGAGAAAGAGGGAACACAGGATGTCCTGAGCACAGAGTCCTGCAATACACTGCCACAGAAATGAAAGCTGTTTACAGGGATTTTCTTCACATCGCCACTCTCCCTGTTAGGGACCCTGCCGTGATGGACCAGGATTCCCTACTCAGGTTTTCCATTACACATGTCCTATCACTGTTTTCTTTTTTTCTTGCAGATCTTTCAAGTGTGACCTGACCTATGTAAAACCCTAACCTAGATTTTTATAGTCACACTCTGAAACTGTTAAAGCAGGATTTAGTAGCATGTAAACCAGTGACTTAGAAATATATGCACTGACACCTTGACGTTTCTCCTATAATTACACCATGACTTGAACAAATGTCTGTTAATGTTTCACATCAAGGAACCCACCAACACCACCTTCGCCTCCCTGGACATTCTCCAACCGTCCCGAGAGGAGAGTCCATGATGTCACGGGGGGGAGGGAGGGGACAGGGGCCTGTGTGTCTATAAATGCACAGGGAAACCTCTCTATGAAGTAGAGCTGAGCTGTGCTCACATGAAGACGCTGTAGGACAGCAAACAAGGGCAGACGGGGGTACCTCTCAGTGCATGGACGCTGACCTGTGGATATTGTTCCATGCTGGAGCTGACAAAAAAAAGACCTTTTTTTCCACTTGGCACTCTGGACCTGAATAGCCTCTTACTTCTGCACTTCTTTGTTCCTTTGGGAAGATTTTATCCAGTTTTGTTCCTCTGCTGTGATCAGTATGCTAAGCCCTGTGACTTTGCAGCAGATCATTTCCACCCTGGTTGTGCTGGGCAGCGTTGAAGTGATAGTGAGTTACTGTGCCTTGTGACAACTTGCTTTTAGAATCATTCTCTGTATATATTTCTATACATTGTCATATTCTTTAGTCTTTCACTAATGCTGAAGAAAAACAAGATTAAAAAAAAAAGTAAAAGATTTTTAAAGATGTTTAAAACACTCCTGACCCTGACTGTGACCCTTGTCCCTCAGGCAGAGGGTGAGTGTCCGGCTGAGTGCTCCTGCGCCCCCTTGCCCCCACTGTGTCTGCCAGGCGTCAGCTGGGTAACTGATCACTGTGGCTGCTGTAAAGTTTGTGCTCGGCAGTTCAATGAAGGCTGCAGTGCCACCGAACCCTGCGATCACATCAAGGGGCTGCACTGCCACCTGGGGGTTAGAGGGGATCCTGAAAGAGGACTGTGTCGAGGTAAGGGGGCACACTATTCAATGTGAAAAAATTAATAAATAAGAAAAAAATGTAAAACACTTGTTGTTTGTATGTTTTCCTTTGTTCTTCTAGAAGGTAAACTCTGTATTTAGAATAAAAACTGAAGTAAAGCGAAAACCAGCGAGATAATCAATTACATATACTTCCCATCCCAAGGATGCCCTGGAAAGAAATCTGATTGCCAAAAAAAAAAAAAAGAATTCAATAGTAACATTTTTTTTTCTGTGAAATGCAACATGATTTCTTTAAAGTTTTCAAAATCCCTAAAAATGTTAAGCTGACTACCACTGAACACTGGCACTATTGACGGGTGCAGTGTTCAGCCCATGCTCTTTACTTTTATCCTTGACAATACTGTTCTGACCCATCAGATTTTCTTTATTGCCTACATATGTTTAGATGCACATTTGTGGCTGCACTTTTTGGTCTGGTTGCACTTTTCTTTTTTCTTCTTTCTTTCTTTCTTTCTTTTTTTTTTTTTAGCACTGTAAAGCTTTCTAGTGTGTTGTGTATAACTTACTTCTATGTTTATATACTTCTATTAAGTTTTCAACTGTAGGGGGAAAAAACACATTTTACCTCATTTATCACATTGCATGTGACAAATGAAGGTGTTAAGTGTTAGATAGTATTTTATTTTAAAGGTCTACTGTCACTCACTTCTTACAAGAGAGACTGTTCATCAGTTAGGATTAGGGTTGTGGGGTTATTTAGGGTTATGTAAGCGCTCTTGTGGCTCTGGAAGGACTTTCATAAGTATGATGTATTCAAGCATCATTTTAGAAAATGCAAAAAAGTTTTTCAAACTAGATGTGGGAGTTTTCCTGGCAAGGTGGGTCTGATAAAAGGCACTGTGAATCTGAATTATCGAAGAAATAGGGTCCAGCATGAAATCATATCCCTTTTAGAAAATACATTTCTGTTCCCACTAAGTGTCTCCAGCTGTAATGTATTGGTTGTATTTTGTACTGTGTCTTTCCATGAAGTTCAAAGGTCTCTGCTCACATTTCTGTTTCCTGTTTTGTGTGTTTAGCGGAGGCCCACGGATTGCCCTGTGCCTTCAACGGCCGGGTGTACCAACACGGTGAGGACTTCCAGCCCATCTGCCAGTACCAGTGCACATGCATGAATGGCGTGGTGGGGTGCATGCCTCTCTGTCCTAACCAAGTGCCCCTGCCTAACTGGCGATGCTCATTGCCCCGGCTGGCCTTGCCTGAGGGTGGATGCTGCGAGGTTTGGGTGTGTGACGATGACAACCACATCAGTGAGGAGGCCGAGGAGCCGACGCACACCTCCCTGCCAGACAGTCAACCTCATCCAAACCACATCAGTGCCCTGCTGAAGGCCCAGCCACAACCTCGACACCCAGCTGCCATCAGAGGGCCCACATTCAGAGGTAAAAATCTCAGCTGTGCCTTTACTGGTGCTCACCATCAAATATGGTTTTTCATGTTGATGTGTAGGAGCCAAAGTCGGCTTTGATTTTGGTTAAAATTAAAATTTCATTTAATTTGAGTGATTTTCTACCTTTTTGTCTTCAGTAATGTTTTTATTTTTATTTTTTAACATACATTAAAACCATTAACCTAAATATGTATCAACCTTTGATCAAGATTTTACAAAAGATCTGTTACCCTCAGACAGCATAAATGTCAGCAAACTTATTGTATGCTGAGGGCAGAACTACTAAAAAGTTCATAATGAGTACAAAAAGAAAATGCACTCAGGAACTGTAACAACCTGCAAAAAAGAGCTCTGGCTACTCTGACAACCCACGAGGCAGCTGTGGACACACTGGGGCAAAACATAATGTCACACAAGCAGTCTATGATAAGCAGACTATGTCTTTGGCTTTCTTATAGAGATGGTGTCCTTCCCCATGTTTGAGGTGTTCATCGAGCCCCGCTGTTTCCCCCAAACAACTGAATGGTCCCAGTGCTCTGCTGCATGTGGGATCGGAATTTCAAGTCGTGTGACCAACAACAACCCAGACTGTCAACTGGTCACAGAAACTAGACTGTGTCTGATCCGCCACTGTGAGCTGCAGCTTCCTGTAACTAGCAAGGTAGGAAACATCTCCATCAGACAGTAAAAGATTATTGGAGATAAACATAAAAAATGAGTGTGGAAAAAAGTGAATACTGCAGTGTACTTGTGTGATCATGCCTCATGCTCTAATTTTTTTTTTTTTATCTCTGTCATCTGGAAGGGGAAGAAGTGTCAGCGAACTATCCGCCCTCAGGAGCCTGTCAGTATCACCTTTGCTGGATGCTCCACAGCACAGCGGTATCGCCCTCGCACCTGTGGGACTTGCACTGACGGCCGCTGCTGCTCCCCCTCTCTGTCCCGCACCGTGCGCCTCCGCTTCCACTGCCCCGACAGAGACACCTTCTACAACATCATGTGGATCCAGCGCTGCAGCTGCAGTACAAGCTTTTGTATAGACAGCGGATCCTCCAGCCCTTCAATCAACCTTTACAACGACATCCACACCTTCAGGGACTGAATGCTCAGACCTGGCCCTGCCACACAGGGGGAAAACTCTCCCATCCCTAAACCCACTGCCTTCCTGTCTGTCAGCTGGGTGGAAAAGCAATACGCTCGCTTGCACTTTAAGCTTCCTGCCACGATGATGTCAGTTTGTCCACACTAAAGGTGTGTTGCCTCTCTAGCACCAGGCCAGCACTGAGGACAACACACTGCAGTGTTCCTGCTGTGTCACACTGCTGGCAGAGAGCTTTAACTCAAACTTATTTTATTTATTTGTAACTTTGGATCTTTGGCGACCTGACAGTTTGTCAAACAGAGAGACCAGTGACTGTTGTTACCAGTTACCAGACCAGTTGTTGCTGTTTAGACCAGTAACAGGGAACATTTCTGAAAAGTGATGGGGGTGGCCATGCATCTTTTCTTCTGATGCATTTTGAAATATTTGGGAATATTTAGATGACATAAGATGTATTCATTAATATCTGTACAGGCTGTGTGCTTATGGCCTATACCTTATGTGTCGATTGTGGAACTGATTACCTGTGTGTGTGTGTGTGTGTGTGTGTGTGTGTGAGAGAGAAAGTGTATTGAACTATTTGAAGAATGAGAAACTTTTGCATGGGAAAGTTAAGAGGAGTTGTGCTTATTATGCTACTATGGTATATAGATGTAAGCATACAGTGTATATAGACTTCACTCTTGGTTGTGGAGTGGTAAATTAAAGGATCACCTCATTTTTCGGGGTGTGATTTTATTGCGTTTTTTTTCCTTCTCCTTGTGCCTACAGCGCTTTGTTTTGAGGGATGATATGATACTATATATTTAAGACATGTTGCATGTGTTCACTGGATGTTTTTGCCTGTACATCAAATAAAAACTTATCAACTTCTGATGTGTCTGACATTCAGGCTAATGTTAGATTTAATTTGAATTTGAATTGCATCGAAAAGATTTACAGTTGTCTTACAAATTTCCAGGACCCATTGCTTGGCCAACTGTCTGCATGCATATGCATATACACGCATATGGGCGACTGTGGCTCAGGTTGGTTGTCCTCTGATCGCAAGGTTGGCAGTTCCATCCCTTGCCCCTCCCACATGTCAAAGTGTCCTTGGGCAAGACACTGAATCCGAAGTTGCTCCCGATGGCAGACAAGCACCTTGCGTGGCAGCTCTGTTGCCACTGGTGTGTGAATGTGTGTGTAAATGGGTGAATGAGAAACACATTGTAAAGCACTTTGAGTGCCACTAAGGTAAAAAGGCGTTATATAAGTGCAGACCATTTACCGTAACATTTACATAACTATAGAAGAAAATCAAAGCATGAATTAGTATCTTTGTTAGGGTTGTGGACAACTCACAAGACGGTCCAGTTAGACACACGTTTCCAAGCCAAGGTTACTACAACAACCATACACTTTCCCCCAAAACGAGCTTTCTAAGAATCATCAAGCACTGATTTTCAATTCTCACAATAGTGTTCCTCCCACTATACATTTTTTCTTCCCATTAAAATGACCCCTTCCGGCCTTAAGGCTCATTCATGGTTTCCATACGACAGATGTGGTCTTTGCACATGAACATTGGACACACATACATTTCTGCTCATACTACAATGGGTACGCATTGGTTTTCTAAGCAGATGGTCACATTGCCCCTCACATTGAACACAGAAAGTCACAAAGGGCTCCCATGGGTGTTTCTGAAAGGCTGTGACTTTGTCTTTTTTACAGGACAAAGCAGGTGATTACAGATTAGGATGTAACACTATGCCTATTCCTGAGGTGTGCTGACCACTGGGTACTTTATTTAAAAAAAAGATTTTATGATATGAGCCTGCTGCATTTCTCCTGCTTTGATAGTCTATAACTAGGCCACGGATTTGTTGGTGGGTTGGTTAGATTTAAGGGAGTGACAGGTTATCAACTTGCATATAAGTTGCATTCAGCATCCTGTATTCAGTTATTTTATTTTATGAAAAGTCACCGAAAGTGTATGAAATAATTAATTTAAAGTATTGAATCTCCATGTGTGCTTTAGCCAGCAGAGTGTGTGTTTGTTACTCTGACCTCTGGTGGCTAAAATAAGTATAAATGATTCGTCACCACAGTGGGCTGGCATAGCCCAGGATTTGTAGAAAATTTTGAACTTCCCACTGTATTTTGGCTCCATCTATGCAAAGCATGGACAAATCAAAATGCCTCCAAAGATCAGCTGCAACTACTTTAATTACAACTCTTTGAATTGTAAAGGTGTGGATGATTGAAAATCTCCATGGACAGTCTATTCTGATAACAAGCTTTTGTTTAAACAACCATTTGTTTGCACATGTGCAGTCAGCGCACATGCATTATGTTAGCGTACTCTCGTATTTTAGGATGCACGTAGAGATTCAAAGTGCACAGACCCTTGGAATGCATGAATTGTCCTTTAAAATGGCTCAAACATAACTCTAGACCATTGCACCCTCTTGAATGCATCTAGAATCTAGAATGGATCTATGAAGTCTAGTTAATGTTTAAAACTAGACAAAATTGTAAAACCAGCTGTTGCTTATGCCCCAAATAATGATTGTTTTTTTCTACCTGCTTAAAAGAGAATGAATTGTTCTGTTTCACATCTCTGTGATATATGCTCTGTATATGCCTTCCTTGGCTTTGTTGCAACAGTGGAAGCCGTAACGCTGCATCATTAGTGTCTTATTCTAACCTCAGAGCTGTTCAGCAAACACGTTCAGCTTGAGCTCTGTATTCATGTTGCCTTGTGTCCTCACACAATGCTCCAGCCGGCTCTAAAGCACAAACATTACGGTGGACTACCAAATTCCTCACCCTGGCCTTCCTGGCCCCTGCCTCCTTCTGACAGAAGGGAGGAACACTGTGACCTCCTGACTGCACCAGTCAGATGTACTGGTCTGGGCTTCATCTCAACCACCTCCCCAGTCTTGACCAGCACCTACTGGACGAGAGATATTTAGAGTGGCAGAGATCATACTTAAGGCAGTAGGCAGTATGTTAACTGCTTAGTGGGCACTGCCTATGGGCTAAACTGAGGGTGGCATTAGAAGAAAATGTCAAAAGTGTAAAGGGTTCATTGCAGCCTTGCTGCTATTTTGTTTTACAGTGGTCTTCTGCAGTATTGCCACAAAAAAGAGAAAAATACCCTTTGACCCAAAAAGCTTTGTCCTTACCAACCAACTCTATATATTGTAGCTGCCCTCGGCATCAATAACACAGCGGTAGAGTTCGACTGGTGCTCAATCTCGTCTTTATTTCACCTATGCATTGTGAAACTAAAACATACAATTTAATTTATTATAACAAAGTTAAAATATGATCAAGCAAGCAGAGCATGTAAATTACAATTTTGCATTCCATTTAGATGATACGAAGTATGACTGGTCAGTCTGCAAGATGGCGCAGTTGGTAGCACTGTTGCCTCGCAGCAAGAAGGTTGCCGGTTTGCGTCCNAGCTGATGAGTTTGGATTCCCAAACATATGTGGAGCCATAGACTGCACCCACATCACAATCAAAGCAGCATCACTAGTAGTAATATCTAATATTATTAAAATATCTAATGACAAAATAATTTAAATGGTTATATTTATCCATTGACTAGTACTATAAAGTTTTTTTTTTCATTTAGCCTCACCAATTTTGATGGTTTTGTAAATTCAAAAATTGCTGAATTTTTGCAGTTTCCCATCCAAATACTTGGAAGAGAAGCCGGTGAGGCAGAAGTGGCTGAGCCTCACCTTGGATTGCGCAATCCCTCGCTAACTGCCCTGGCTGCCATGCAGTGACAGCGTGCTGCTGTCTGGATGTTGCCAATAAAATGGTTCAAACACATTTAATATATGAACTGGTTTTCCATAGTTCAGCTGATGTATATAATAATGTACAGTGTTTTTTTTTGTTAACACTGTATGTGTGTAACGTGTTTCGTGTGCTGAGTGATTATAAAGCAGCTGAGAAGAGATTCTTGGTGAGGAAGGCAGTTCTCCGACCTCATGGCAGGGGGCGCCCTGATCCCAGACATTGTTCTGCTGAGTAAATGACAGCAATTTAGCAGCTTACAACAAAGTAACGGATATTTTTGTCTAGAAGGAGTGGCGCATGGACTTCATTTATAAGTAAAGGTAAGGTTGCAATAATTTTGTCGTTTTCCCTGGACGTAAACCTGTCAGAGCCATCAAAGAGGAGTTCCACAGGCTTGCAGGTGAATGATGTAGAGATCTCTTAAATTAATTTTAAATTATATTCTGTTAATGACATTGTGCTGCAACCTCAGACTTGAACAATGTTTTTATATTTCATCTTATCTGCTGCCAAGTTCTCTTCTCCCCCACCAGATTGCACCTAAATGAAATAAATTTATAGGCTACCATTCAAGCAGTTTTCCTGTAATATTATTGTGATCAAAGGACGACATTTAAACTTACGCATTGACCCAAGCAGTAATGTTCTCCATGACGTATCCCTCTGTGTTGCAGCTGCAGCACTGTTGCACTTCTTTTTAAATACGCGTTCAAACTTGCCATATGAGCGCATTAAGATTTCTAAGTCTAGTCGGTGAAAAACGCAGCCGTCTGCTTCCCCGTTGCCATGGTGACTCCATTGATGCTGGCTTTTTATAGTTGTGGTGCACGCACTCAACTCCAGGTGAGACTACTCCGAGGTAATTAAACTAACTCAAATCAGCTGTTCTGGAACCGGAAACTGAGAGTTTCCTATCTCAGAGTCGAGGAACTCAAAGTTCAGGATTAGACTCAGAGTTTGATTGAACCTGCTTTGTGAAAAGGTAGTGTAAAGGACATTGTATACTGTTAACCTCTATAGACTGCATCCAAGAAATAAGAACACATGGCTGCTATTTGGTACAAAANTAGGCTCCAGCCCCCCCACGAGCCTAGTGAGGATTAAGCGATGTATAGCTAATGGATGGGTATCATACTGCTGTTCTTCTTAACAGTTTGCTTCCTTTGTTTCCTTGTCTACTGCTTTTTTTCTTAACTGATGTGTGCTACTGTCTCTGTCGGTGTTGTGCTGTTTCTACAACAACAATTTCCCTGAGGCACCCTACCAAAGGGATCAATAAAGTTCTATCTAATCTAATCTAATCTAATCTAATCTAATCTAATCTAATCTAATCTAATCTAATCTAATCTAAATGTTAAGTAGTAAAAGAAATAGGACTTGAACTCTAATCACCTGGGTGAAGGTGTGCTGACTCACATCTCCACCAAGTGCTCCATCCTTCAAATACATTTTGTTTTCCTTTCTAAGTGCTAAATATCACTATTTAATGGAGTGATAACAGCCTACTAGAAGGCGGAGGAGGTCACCACTGGCCCATTGTATGGATGAGATGTACACTGATAATGCCTATTGAATGGTATAGTAACATCCAGGCCTACAAGACTGTACCCTTCCCCCACCTGGACAAGTCTGACCATCTCTCCTTACTCCTCGTCCCTGCATACATCTCCCTCAGGAGGAAAAGCAGACCTGTGACAAAGACCATCAAAGTCTGGCCAGAGGGTGCACTATACCAGCTGCAGGACTGTTTCCAGAACACACAATGGTCTGTATTCGACAGTATGGAGCTACATGAGCACACAGATACTGTGCTATCGTACATCAGCCACTGTACAGATTCTGCCACTGTGGACAAGCAGATCTGGGTCTAACCTAATCAAAAACCCTGGATGACCTCAGAGGTGAAGGCACTTTTGAGGGCCCGGAACGCTGCCTTCAACTCAGGGGACAGAGCTCTGTACAAGCACGTCCAGGTCTGATCTCAGGAGAGGTGTCAAGGCGGCAAAGGAGGAGTATAGGAGAAAAGTGGAGTCACACCTTGGCAGGGCATCCAGCATCTGACAAGCTACAAA